GTGTTTATGTGTGTGTCTGTAAATAGCACTGGGTGTAGCTAACACGCCGGATTTAGTTTGATTTATTCTTGCACTTTCTATGTATATGAATGACGCTAGGTATATTTTACACGTCACACTAAGTAATATGTAGTCTGTTACCTAATGTGTTGATGAGTAAAGCTAGGTGTAACTTACACTTCTCACTAATTGCGTTGTGGCATGTCTCCCCTTCGCATGTGTCTACGCTTACCCGCTAGGTGTATCATACACGTCGTTTTAAGTGCGATGTAGAATTTACCCCTCTCCATTTGTCAGCAGGCATAGCTGCTATCCCGATCGGTAAATCTGTTAGTGGCCGATAGAACGGTACGTGAATAATCAGAGCTAAACTTAGTTCAATGGACTAAATTGCGTACAGTCCTCTATCTAACAATTTTTTAGTATCGGTGAAAACACTTCCTGATTTTATTTGAGGCTGTTCTATAGAAGATACAGTGGCCTCTGCAAATATCGCAAATTACTTGATCGAAAAAATTGAAAACACTCCATTAGAACTAACGAATCTACTTCCACTCCCAATTTGAAGATTAAACCGAAACAGCAGAATAAGGGCTTCACAGACCATCAATAAAGGTCATTACTTGCCCAATGTAACCTGGATCAGGTGGTGTAGCACTGGCACATAGCCATCATGGTCGTTTGTTGGGATTGGAGTGTTGGCACGCAAAGTTGTAGCGCAGTAGAGGGTAGGTGAAGTACACTAAAATTTTGTCTTCGGTCTACTTCCTATCACTCTGTTTTTCTTTGCATGCACGCTGCGCTGTTTCAATCTCCTTGCATCACTAATAACACGATTGGATCGCTGAATAACCTGCTTGCTTGAAACACCCAGAACAAAGCAAAACTAAAAATCATGCCTAACCTACCAAAGAGCACATCATACGATTTACTTCATAGAATTCTTTGTGAGGGAAAAGGTAAAATGTTTTGACTGAATCCATATTGATGAGCTCCTTAACCCAAGCGAAGAGGACGAGAATTCTTATCTGGAGAGCAATGAATCAGATATTGTGATAGGAGTTAATCGAGGAGTTGTAGCACAGGAGAGGGCAGATATCAACAAATTTACTAAGTCCTATCTGGGGAAAAATTGTTTCGGTGCAGATACAAGACTGAGATTTAGTAGATACTTTACTACGCTTAATTATATCAAGCCTCTTCTCACATTCATTTCATTGAACGATATTTTCTTCACGGTACCAGACCTTCCGTCTCCAACTGAACGCCTTTTTTCAAATGTAATTCTCCACGAAGGACTAAAATCTTTCTTCTTTAACATCCGCAAAATATTATCATCTTAGGTAGTGCCACTATCTTTTATAAGCCACCCCAGAAACCCACCGTTCTGCGCCTGAGCAATACCGCAGCTTTAAGCTAACGTGCGCAGTGCCAACACCGCACAATTGTCACCCTCGCTGCTTAGCTTGAATACAATTGATCCCCCACATTTGATAAAATTATTTCTCTGTACACTTCTATCTATATACTTGGCCAATACACATAACCTGCAAGTTAGCGACTGTAGACTACCATTAAAATACCTCAGTGCGCGTCCAAACCTAATATTTAGAGGACATTGTTAGTTTTAGGAAAAGTTATTAGCGGGAGCATCGTGCATCGAAAATTTCAAATTACTGCGACCTCAAACATGAAGCTATTAGTTACTGTGCGCAAGGTGAATGCAGTTTTTTTATCGAGTTTGTACATCTGTGTGTTTTTAAATAAGGTTAGGTGTATTCTACTCGTCTTAATGAGTGCGTTCTATCATGTCCTCTTCTGTTAGGCATTACGTTTATCCGAAGTATCTATAGATCTAATTTACTATTGTGATGAATACAAGTAAATAACTTTTTATCGATCAAACGTGAATATAACAACAAAGCAAATACTGGAAGCTCACAAGCAAAGACAGGTTGCGTGGCCCTAGTGTACTGTACTGGAATGGTACGGACATTAACATCATCATACTCATTTTTCAGTGACTGCTGTTGTATGGTGTTCTACAACTTGTATCAGTTCTACGAACTGAATGTTGCATATCAAGAAACGGACCCCATGGCTTTCATTCCTATCTTATCTAAATTATCGGACAGTTGTTACGATGTATAGATTAGCAACCATGGACGACCATGTGACGACCCCAGTGGACGTCCAATCCAACGAGTTGGCGAAGCTTACAATTTATCGGGGAAAAAGCCATCATAGGGAGCATTCTCTATAAAAGGGTAAGCTCAAAGGTTGCTCCTCTATCTTCTAGCTAGTAATGTAACTTTTCTGAATTAAAAAAGTGATGCCATATCACTGCATCAACTCCATATATTGGCGAAAGAAGTGACGAGTAGTATAGGTTAAGGCGCTACCGGGCAGGATCTCCCTCAGTTTTCCTGTTTTCACGTACATACATGTAAAAATAAGCAAACATATTACCGAATAGCTTTGACACACACGATCTACTAGCCATCTCGTTGATTAGCTAACACAGCGCGACCCACTCTTAGCCGCTAATCACCCACATTTGGGGCATTATATTATCAGATCTTGTTTTATTTATCTGGGCTTAACTAGTTACTATCAAAAGCAAATTCCAGAGCTTGCTATTAACATGAAATAGTTTAAAAGTCGATTTAAGCGAGACTATCCCATTATTGCATGAAAAAAACTTTTATTAGTCAGGATAAGAATCCATGTCATGTGTAACTTTCCCAGGTTTATCTGCAGCTTCATGAAACTATCCCGTCATAACATAATTTTACCATTAATAAAATGCGTGAATTGATTGTATTTATTCAGCTTTCTCTGGTAAGCATCCTTCCCATGCACTTACAATTGATAGTACGTTAACGTTTCACAATGCCGTAATATCATTGTAATTATTCGCAGGAAAAGGTAGCCGTCAATTACTCGTCGGCTCTTCGTTATCCCGCCTCTTTAATTGCATAAGGATCCAGAAACTTTGTAAAAAATTTTATAAACATTTGTAAAGTTTCTAGATCCTTCTAATCTATAATAAATTCAATGGGTCTTGTTCTCAAAAATTAACCTCCAACCCGTGTGTCTATGAACACAAAGCCTGATTTGAAAAGGCATCCACAAATACGTTGGCACTATTTGCTCAGAAGCTTTACATGATTTATAATTTGGTATCATTGCAACAAATTCTGTCATTTATGTTCTTCGTTTCAATTCTGAACATACATGATAAATCCAAGGGACCGTTGATGTGCTAATAAATAGCGCGCTAACAATTTTATAAAACATGACCTGAATGCCTACAATTTTAACACTTACGAAGACGATGCGCCACCTCAGCATGCCCGAACAGCGATTTACCGCATGTCGTTTTATGCCAACGAACCATTGAGGCACCATGAGATATTCCACGTCACTGTATCCGCTCATAAGAACGCGTGTCAGGCGCATACGCAAGGAACGTGTTAACGATGTTACTGGCCTCTAATTTATCACTCTGACATCAACATACACATTTAACGTGACGTTAGGTCTTCCATGTTGCTGTCATTCACAAAAAATTATTTGGAATACTTCTGTCCACTTTTCGCTCATGAAGTGACTGGAAGAATTGCAGCAGCGTGTCGAAGGCAGCATCCAGAGCTAGTCAAATTCTTGTTGAAAATGATTCATGATGGTAATGGTGCAATAATTAGTAACGATGGCGCCGGCAAGCTTAGAATGCCTACGTAAAACTTGCTTGTAAAAACTACATCTTAGAGCTCTGGTTGCTATGGCATTCTTTAGTACGCCCCTCAATCCTCGCACACACGCCAGAGCTGTCGTCAATCCATTGTGATGAGGTCCCGAAAGTCCCTTGGTCATTATGTCCTCCATCATCACAGAAGGCTCGCAAAATTCGAGCTTCACTTCACCGCGCTTGACCTCATCACGGATGCGATGGTACTTGATGTCGATGTTCTCGGCGCGACCGTAGTTCACCGGATTCTTTTTCATTTTGATGCGTGGCTGAGATGCTTAACGAATGAAAAGTTTCGGTCCTGACTCATTTGCGACCGCCAAAACCTCGCATAGCAAACGATGGGTCCACTCATCTGGATGGCCAGACTTAGTGTGATGGACGCAGCTTCACTCGTCTACAGTGACATATTTGACTTCTTCTTGCTTCCCAAACTCACAGGACCACCAATTAGTCTGAAAGTGTAACTTGAACTTGACTTGCGATCAGTATGGTCGCTGGCCCAGTCCGCGTCCGATTTCCACAAAAATATAATCATGTCGCTTCAGCAAGCGGAGACCGTGTGACTTCAGCCCCTAAACGCAACGAAAGACGCGCAATACCGCCGTCCAAAGTTCTTGCTGCGGAAAATTCATGAAGCGTGAGACGTACCCCACAGCATACGCAAAGTCCGGGAACGTTGAAGACGTTATGTGCATTCGAGCTCCAACATCTTCGCAGAACGGAAACGTCTATATTGGCCTCTTTACTGCTTGCTACAAGCCTGGTGCTTAAATCGACCAGACTTGCTGTGGCTTTGCACTCATACATGCTGAAACGCTGTAGGCTGTCGTTGACACACCCTTGCACATCGTCACGCTGCCATCCAAGCCGTCCACCAGTTTGATGCCTACAACAAAGCACACTTGCCACCGTCGGTCATCTCGAATTGCGTCTTACGATCAGCCTTCGTGTGCGCAATTAATTAGAGCGAGCTGACGGTCACCAACACGTCGTAAACCAGCGCGATCACACAGCGAGCATCGACCACCTTATGTATAGACATAGATCAAACGCCGACACTTCGAAACCATGGAGCACACAAACTCTTCATAAGTCTCGTTCCACACACGCGAAGCTTTCTCGAGACCATAGGTCGCCTTTACCAAGTCCAAACAATCAAAGTTGGCATCCGTCTCGATGCCTTCTAGTACCACGCAGCACACCTCTCCTCCATAACGGCGTATAGAAAAGCTGTCTCTACATCGAGTTAGTCCAGTGGCCAGTCGAAGTACTTGGTTATCGCGATCACCATACGCAGTGTCACATACTTCACCACGGACGGGAACGTCTCCGTGTACTTAATGCCGTACTTCTGCTTATAGCCCTTGGCAACAAGGCGCGCCTTGTAATTTTCGATTGATTCATTCGCTTTGCGCTCGATCTTTAACACCCACTTGGTGCCGATCGCGCTTTGGCCTCTTGGCAGTTTTCCGCACATAAAACTACACGAAGATGCATCGACTTAAGTTACGCTGCAGCAGTTCGCCAGTGAGCTTAATCAGGAACGTTGGATGCGCCTTAAAAAGTCTCAGGTCCTGCCAGGTCTGTTACTTTTACTGCAATTCAATTGTACGCCAAATGTTTGAGGCGTCGGGTCGTCCTTTCGATTGTAGACGCTCGCATCCATTTCTTCATCAGACATCGTTGTATGAGTACTTATTCGTCGTTTCTGGTGACGGTCGGAGACGCGTTCCGGCGCACTTGCTTGTTCCAGCCCATTTCGATGGCGAGCCGACCAGGACATGCCGGTGCTTGCTTTACTGTTGCACTTGCCAGTCTGCTAGTAGATGGTCTGACGCACGTCCACATCGTTGATCGCCAGGAGGTTGAGGTCCAATTACGCATCTTCATCGTCTTTGCTTGATTGGTCCATCGAAAAGTCAAAAGTCGATTTGTCGAAATTAATATTACGGCTGATGACCACTTGGCCCGCCTTAATGTTGTTTACTCGGTAAGCATTTGAAGCTATTTCGTAGACCATGAATATCCCTACACGAGCCTTTGGGTACCACTTAAGTAGCTTCTTTTTTGGTGTCAGAATGTACGCTTGACATCCAAACAAGCGCATGTGTTGAACACTTGGTTTCGACTTGTACAAAATTTCGAAAGGGGTCTTATGGTCGATCTTGGGTGACGGCAGGCGGGTTTTAATGTAGATCGCCGTAATTGCCAGTCCAGCCCAAAATTACTGTTTTAGATTTGCCCGATGTCACAAGCTGCGTCCGATCGTGACGGGGGTCCATATTGCGCGCCTTGCAGTGCCGTTAGTATGATGTGCAACGGCACCGTGACCTGCTTCTCGCTACCTTGATATTCGTAGAAGATCTCGATCGAGTTGGTCGCTAACTCAGGCGCTCCATCCTGTCGAAGGAACTTGATCCTCTTGCTGAACTGCGTCCGGATATTATGAATGTGGTTCTTGATGCAGAATTTTCTCTCAGGCTTGGACCGCAGAAAAATTTTTGTTCAAGCACCCGCTGGCTTCGTCAACCTCAAGTAGCAAATATCTTCCGCCGCAGATCAATACTTGTTCCATTGGCCCGCGAATGTCGAAATGTAGCAATATAAACATTCCGTAATAATACTTGTCACGGTTGGTTGAGAATGGTCTTTGAAACATCATCCCTTACCGGCAAACGCGACACACACATGACATACTCGAGTGGAGAGGTTCCTTGACTTCCTTGATCGTGCCGGTCGCTGTTATTTTGCGCAGAATATCGAGGGGTGCATGAAACATGCGCGCGCAAGTCAATGGCTCCATAGTGTGTCGCTGCATTCACCGATCGTTGGGGAATCGGCAGCCAGTAAAGCCTATCGACGATATCCTCTGCCGCCACCAGCGAAGCTTCAACCGCAACTCGATCGTATTCGTCGTCGTATTTGTTATTGGATTGCTACCGAACGTTTTTGGCTCCGTATCTACGAGCATTGTTGCCGTCGCGTCAATCACCTCCTTGATTTTCGTTCTTCGCCTAGGTCCAGCACCGCTCCACCGTATGTCTTAAGTCCGCAGTACTTCCAATAATGAGGTTCACGTTTAGCAGTGAACGCCTTCGCCGCGTCTTCAGTCTTCACCGATGTCGTCCTGTCACCTTGTATCTTAATGTACTCATTCTTGAGCACTTTAAATACGTCCAGCGATTGCATTTCTGCGCTGCTCATATCCAGGTCTAATACGACATTCTCGTAGATCTTGGGGAGCAACAAGCAGATCGCCACGTCCTCTTCCTCCACCTTGGCACCGATGCTGCTTCGCTTCGTGCTGATGTTGAGGAATTCATTTCGATGATGTAACACAATGCTGTCTTTCTTCATTTTCAAGCTGAAAAGCTGGCGTTTCTTGTAGATGCGCCCGGCTTTCTGCGATCCACCGTACATCATCTATAAACGCGCCCACGCGACGCAAGCCTCCTTACAATCATCTACAATGTGATGGTAGTCAGCGTCCACGCGGAGAAACTCCAGGCCGAGCGCGGTCTTGTTTGGCCTTGACGTAGTCGTTCATGGCGCGATTGTCCGCGTAGGTCGGCGACTCCCGGTTCACCTCGTGCCACGTCGACTTAGTCACAAACACGCTGCGCATGTAGTGGCTCCATGTCGTGTAGTTGTCTCTGTCGAATTTTTTTTTGTCGATGCAGATCTTGTGTGGTATCTTGGACAGTGGACATCGCGCTTCGGCTCACAGCCTGTTGAAAGTTGTGAATCTTGATGACCGAAACTGGAACGGATGCTGGGGAGTCCAGTCAGAAGACCTAAGAAAACACTTGAGCAGTAGGTGGAAGATTGGAAAGTAATAACTATGGGAGCTTATCTGTCTACGCCCTGATTTTTACGTTTCCACGTATATATCAGTCGGCGCCTCTAATCATCCTGCTCGTATAGTAATTCCTGCGCAATTACCTACGCAAAAACTGTCTCGTTAAAACTTCACCTTAAAGTCCAGGTTGTTACGGTAAATTTCAATATATTGGTTCCAGAATGTTCAAATATAAAAAAGAATAGCTTTAGAACACAACATCGGTTCTTAGGTTATGTATTGAAGTATCCAATTCTCCCCCTCGTCTACTATAACCCTAAAGATTAGACACGCAGACAAACTACACCTCTTCCTTCCTGCTGCAGAAAACGTCAGCGTCTTGCCCGCATTGACCAGTTTTAAATCTTTTCACGAATCTTTAATACTTAGGAATGGTGCAAGTTCTACGTAACTAGCGTCTGTTGCATCCACTGTCGCCTAAATTTATCCATCCGGGAAGGAAGATGTAAATTTATATATGGATATATTGCAACCAGTAAAACCCGTTACGTAGCGGGTAAAGCAGCCCTCGCACATATCTCGTAACTAAGTCTAATTACGCGTCGATGCACAACTGCCGAGTACAGAACGTCACCCAATGTGGAGTTGTAATAATTTTGTACATTCGGTTCAGACCGCCAATCCTCTCTTACCTGCCACGTCTCCGATCAATAAGTCTATGCGATGGTTTGTAGATAGTGTTGAATGTGAAATACACATTCTCGAATTTTTGCAGTCACGCTCAAGTCACATCCATCTCCTAAATGAGGTGCTTAGCTTCGGTGAGAATCAACCCTTGATTGATTCGAAGCTGTAGGGATACCTACGACATACTCCCCACGAAGCCTAAGGTCATGCAGGAGTAGGCACGGGAATGTTAGCGGTCGGCGGCAACCCCGCGCTACGCGTCACAACTTCGGCAAACGAATACGTCAGATCACGGGAACGCGCAACTGGTCCATCAAAAGCAGTAACTAAGACTGGTAGCGTCCCCTACCCCTAAATTTGCTGCCTCGGAAGTCGCAAACTCTTTTTTCGATGGGGTGCGCAAGCGACCATGAACGGCAAAGTTTTGTCGGGAGGCGTTCCCTGTACCACCATCATTGCTTTGGCGATCGCAACCACATCAGAGACTGCTTCCGCATGCAATGACACGTCTCAGACGTGTGATGTCTCTTCGGCTTTGCTTACTGAAGTCGGCTGGCCACGATTGCTATCACCCATTTGACTGGGCGTCTCTCTAAGCGCTTCTTCATCCTCTGCTGTACTTGGCAGCGATGCACTGAGAGCGCTTAGAAGATAGGCTTCAACCTGGCTTGGTTCGGCTTATCTTTTTCCGTTGCTACACTCGCTCTTAGCTCCTCGAGCACTTACGTCGTCGACCAGATTTTTAGGTGCACTTCCTGATAATATCAGTTGTTAGTTAATTACACGAGTAGACTTACTTGAAAATACCAACGTATGCGTTGTCAGTGGCCAGTACGAGAGTCTTGTAAATCATTGCTCCACAATTACTCTCTTTTCTGCCCTAGATGATCCAGACGTAGAAACCTACCCATATTTAAGCAGCAGCATTCATCGTGCCGAGAAAGGATACGAGCGTGTCCACGCGCAAAAATAAACGGAGCCGGGTACACAGCCTGGGTTTGCTTTAATCTTTCTCATATCTTGTCACGCATTTTTTCAAAGCAAATCTCGTCGTAAGTATCATAAATGTCCAAAGGTTCTATAACCAGTACTTTATTCAACTGAAGTCAAAAGTTTTTAATTTATACTTGTGTTGATTATTCAAACTGGTATAGTGTTTACCACAGTAAACTTAAGTGCAATATGGGATTAAAAACTTCTTGATTGCTAATGAGTCTTTCCATTTCAAGAAAGCTGTCACACAAGTGGTCTCAAAGGGCTCCATTTTTACCAATGCTTTGTTCACTTCTCGATTTGCGACCACACACAGGTGTGTCCACTTGCAGAGAGCACATTGCGAGCGAGCCTGGCCCCGGTAGCACGAACTCGACAATATCGTGATCGTGGGGACTCATTATGACACAATTCTGTTTGCGGGTAGCGGTACCAGCAGTTCAGTTCTTGGTGCTGGTGTCGACTGTGCTGCTTAACGATTGCGCGCTTTGTGCGTGCGCATGTGTTGCAGTGCAAGGAGTATGACTGACTGGCATGTAAAAAGCTACTGACTGGTGCGCATCCGTTATAGTTTGTACGCTGAGATAGCAGCAGGTCAGATCCTGCTGTGCTCGGTGTTCTATTTGTTTTATGACGACTACGTACGTGTGTAGCGCGGGTATTGGGTCAGCTGGCCTTACTGAGATGTTTTAACGCAAACGAATCTATACAAAGCTTGTGGAGACTCGTTTGATGTAGCATTAGTTTATTTAGGGATTACTAACTTCTATAACTCAAGCGAACTGTTCACTTTACATAGAACGTGCATGTTACCGGTCAGCAAAGCTGCATCATGAAATGCACTGCTCACTGTATTTCAGATCCACCAGCATCGGAATCTACCCCTCCTTACGCACAGCCCGTGTGTCATTAATTCCTGCAAAATCGACTGAAGTTGTCGTCTATATCATCTGTGCTGCGGTCTTCGACACCCTCACTAACAAACAATGAGATATTTC